GCAAGCCAAAGTCTCTTCCTGCCAGGCGTTGAAGTCGGCGTCTAATTTTGCCAGCATGATACTTGCTTCCTCTTCATTTTATTCTAACTTCGCCAGGAAGTCTTCTCTGTCTTTTTTATGTTGGCTTCTGCTTTTACTTGGTTTGCCCTAATCTCTTTCAGCATTTCTTCCTTCTCCGCCTTCCTTTCTTCTTTCTCTTTCCTTCTACTTTCCTCCATTCTGTCTTCCATCCGCAATCGGTCGGCATCTGCTTTTACTTGATTTGCCCTCATCTCTTCTTGATGGGTTTTCATATCGGCGTCTAATTTGGCCAGGAAATCTCTATCTTTCCTCCTATTGGCCTCCATTCGCTCTCGGTCGGCATCTGCTTTTGCCAACATTTCGATTACTCTCTGCATCTCCATTTTGTAGCAGTAAGATACTTGATGCACAACAATCTAATTATTTGTCAGGCGTGTTTAAGTTCGTAAAACTTCTGACACCAAATTGTCACGTGTCTTGAGTTCGAAGCTCGTTGGTCACGTGTGTAAGTCCAAATCCCACTTCTGACACCAATGTAACGTGTTTCGTTACAGAAGACGCCGTAGAGATGGTTAATTGGTTTATTTAACAATCTACAAATAACAGCTACAATTACTTATAACACAGTTGCGGGGTTTCACACTTTATAACCCTAAGCGCAAATCAGTTCNAAGTCTTCCGCTCGCTGACTTCTTAGTTATCGCACACTCGCAGGCTGCTATGTTTCGACTCGGCGACTGTTACTTTATAACTGACTTGCAGCCGTTGTGCAGCTCACTTATATAGCTGCAGTGCTTGCTTGTTGCGTAATGAGTGTCACGTCATCCTGTTACGTCACCGCTGTTGACTCGCATTGCATAGTTACCAGGTTGCGGGGGCTCGGCTCTCTTCGGCTCCGCTCATGACGTCACCGCGCATTGCATGGCTACCAGGATGCGGGGTGTTTACTCCCCTATTACACGAGCGCTACGTTACCGCTACGTGCAGCTGGGGAGGTAGGGGTCAACATGTCACAATATTATACTCAGAAATACAAATAGGCTTCTTTACTAGTCCATGTGTCCTTTGAATATCAACCATGCTCGAATTGTGAATTGTAGAAATCATATTCACAACACAAGTATCCCTATCTCCAAAAAACAGTTCTGCTACTTCAGACACTTGCGTTGGGTCCGATGGAATTTGTTTCACCCCTGGATTTCCAGTAAACTGTCCCAAAATAGGTGTTTTGTCTACTTTTCCCCATGTGGCTGTCCCCTCACTTTTACCTACACTTTCATTGGAGCTACTTTCACTTTTATTGTCTGTGGCCACAATTCTTTGTTGTCCCCTGTCACTGTCACTGTCTAAATCACTATCACTACACGTCTCAGAAGGAGTGTCAGATAGTGTCGGAGAACAAGTCAGATATTTCGCTTGGTTTTCAACTGCTTCTGTCCTTGACTCATTACACTACTAACTTCCTGCCTGGTACATAAGAGCTTGAAGGGTCAAAGATCATTTTCCTTTGGAGGGGGAACCCGAACAGTGAGCTCAAGTTACTGCCTACTAAGCAAACATTCCGGAATAATATTACGCAGTAGTCATTTCATTTGGGTGGCGCCAGAGAAAGGTATAGTGTGTTACAATCTGACGTGTCCTAAAATCATACTAATATGCCACCGGTCCACCACGTTTAAAATCACTGGGCATAAAAATATGCCACTGGTCTGCAAAGTGTTAAGTATTTATCCTCTAAAGGTCTGTGACAGTTGTTGGTTAATTATTTTAATATTATGTTGGGCATTATCCATTGTCTAATATATATTTAATTTGTGTGACATTTTGGAAACTGGATCCATTTCTGTGATCTGGTATGATGGGAGGAATTTGGCCTGAACTGCTTGGAACATTTCTGTTATCTCCCAGTTGACCATAACATAATATATACTCTGCTCGGAAATTATTTCATTGTCCAGTGTTTGAGACTGACTTTTTCTGTCGTGTCCAACTGAGCCCCCCCCCCCACACACACACACACATACACCTGATGACACAAGTTGATTTTATTTTAAAAATGTTTTGTATATGAGATATAGATGAAACAAGGGACAATTTCCAACTTAATATTTGTGTAATGCTACAGCAGTACCTCAAATATGGTCACACAGTATCCTTCCACGTCCTTTTCAATTTCTCATTGAGAAGTCTGGTTTTTCAGTGCCGTATGATCTTAACATTTGAAGAGTCGTGAAAGTAAACTGTAAACAAATAAAGCTGTGATGGTAACTCAGAAACCTGACAGACTGCTTTGAATTGCATTGCACTGTATCAGAAGTAGGGGCACACAGTAGCATAATTGGGTGAGTCACTGTGCTACAAACTGGAATGTCGTGGGTTTGATTCCTGATGAAATCATTGGATTTTTCAGTAGACCTAATCCTTCCAGCCGCACTATGGCTCGGGTTGACTCAGCCTCTAACAGAAATGAGTACTGGAAATCTTCCTGGGATTAAAGGGTGGTCCTGGGCATGAGGCTGACAACCTCACCGCCATCTGTGAGCTGATTGTCTAGAAAATGTGGGAGCCTTGACATCTCACAGCCCTATGGGCCTGCATGGACTGTTACAGGGATAGCTTTACTGTTACTTTTTATATCGAAAGTTTACAGTGCAGTGGTACAGCTGCTGAACCCAAGGTCATCAGGGCAATTGGGCCATGATAATCTGTGTGCTGTTAGGGCGGTCAACAAGAAGTGGCTAGCAGCTTCCAGTATACAATATTACCAATGCTTTTCAGATAAAATAACCAAATGATATATGAATAAAATGGTCAAAATATCTCATTGTGGTGGTAATTGAGGTATATGAAAGGTTAAGTTGTCCCTGTGCTTAACTAATTAAGTGCTACACCATAAAGGCGTATGGTGGGTGGGTGTATAGAGTCACGTTTTCTTGACCATGGCATTAGTTGGAGGTGAGTGATCAGCTTCATGCCCCGGCCACTTTATCCCAGGGGAAAGAACCTCCAGAACTCACTGGGTAGGAGGCTGGGTGGGCCCCAGGCTGGTCTGGGTGATGTGGAGGAGAGAAATTTTTTTTTACCCTACCAGGGCTCAAACTCTGATCTCTTGGTTGTCCAGCCCCTAGCTAGTCGCTGTACTGACTATGCTGTCCTGGCTCATATGTATATGAAACAAGTGAAAACATTTTATTTTTCATAATCTGAATATTCGCTGTATGTGATTTGACATGTCTCTAAATGTCACACTACTACCATTTATTTTTAAGATCCTGAGATCATGTCTAGCCACTGCTCAAGATGATGTTGCTTCTCTATTGGAAGAGAAGCGTTCACTGTTAGACCACATGCGACGCCTGCAGGATCAAGTAGAGCAGTCCCAACGCAGCAAGAGATAGCAGAAGTGTTTCAAGTGCTGTAGTGCCAAGAGGTCATCACAGTAGTGGCGATGATAAAGGTAGCTAATTTGCCAACTGTTATGTGAAATGGATGTCTGTTTGGAAGAAGGTTTTATTTCTGTACACCACTATGACCTTTGCAAACCATGGAAGAGTATAGTAATGCTTCATTGCCAAAACCTGTCAACTCCAATCTCATATAATGAATTCAGGATAAGTGAATGTACTTATGCAGGAAGAGTACTGTTATATGAGATGTGACACCTTGTAATCTGGCAGAAGTTTGCTGGCATTTTTGAGGAATTTGCTGGCTCCTCGCTGGTTGGTTGCTTGGCTTACTCTTCAACACTGTAAATGGAGGCAGCATATTCTTCCAGAATATCTGTAAATTTGTACCAGTCAGATCTCAGAAGAAATCTTTGTAGTCCCAACCATGAGAACCTAAAAATCAGCATGCTTACACAGGGTCTTTTTGAATTGTCATATTTTTTAACCTTCATATCTCCAAAATAAATAGAGCTGTAAATGTGAAATGAAGTGTATTGTGTTGGAAAGAAAAGATATTTCCCCAGTGCATCTTCCAGTTCCACAGATGTTCTATGTGTTGTCCCTGAATAATGTGGACATTGTCACATTTGTTCAACAGTTCCTCCCAAACACAAGTGAGCAAGTCAGGGTTAATTATAGCAACATCTGCAGCAGTCTTTGCTCAGAGTTCATCAAGGGGGGGGGGGCACGCTTGACCTTTGATGTAGCCTCACAGGAAAAGTTGTGAGATGAGTTCAATAAGGGTGCCAGGCAATGGGAAATCAGCCATTTTACTTCACAGCTGTTTTTAGCAATATAGGTAGCTGAGAGAAGAGGTAAACTCATGTATGAGAAATGTCTATCTGCCAGTATGTGCACTATGTTTCATTTATTTATAGCTACACTTTTGAACGATAACATTTTTCAACAGTATAACCTAATTAAGAATGATCATGTATAGTTAATGCCCTGTAACATTTAATGTCACACAGCAGTAATATGACTCTTGAAGCTTGAATAGAAGCATGTTAAATGTGGTTGAAGTGATGCTTGTCATGTGGGAAGAATATTCACTTCCTCTGACATTCATGCAGTCCATTTTTGGTATATTGTGTATATGATGTCTTATAATTTTATCTGCATTGGTAGCCATTTTGTAGGTCGATGTGGATTGACCCAAATAATTTTGTTTAGAACTTTTGCTCAAACCCTGTTCCCCTGTACTGTTGGAAAATCGAGAATTGTATTAATAATAAAGCAAATTAAAATGCATAGTGGGAGACAGTTAAGTTAAATTTGTTTTGAATAAAATTATGGAAATGACAATTCACTGAGTCACTGTGTAATTATATATGCCATTTTTTCCTTCCTGGTCATGTTAATACATATTATTTTTGTATGTTGTTTACACCACAAAAGTTTTGAACAATATTGCTGAATATATATTCTGTTTGCTACTTTTCCATTTAAACATTTTTGTTATATAATATATTTTTTTCATGTTATGTTTAACAGTCTGTTGTAGAATATTTATAAGCTCAGCTGGACGAACCAAGATTTAATTCTTGGAAGTGGCTCTTCTCCACAGTGCTGAGTTTGGCTCTGTGACTCACCCAGCCTCATGTCCAATTAATACTGGGAATTCTTTCCCGAGGGGTAAAGTGACAGGGGAGTGAAGCTGACCACTCACCTCCATCTATTGTTAAAGATGTGTATGCATGCACTTATACCATCATTTAACACATATTCATGGTGTTATGCTTAATCAAGAACAGGGACAACTTCATGTTTTACCTTTATTGAGTAGTTTTGATATGTACAGGATGCCCCTTTAGTCATTTTGGGGTTTAGAAAGCTACATTTTCTTAACCATTACACATATTGTAACATGTTTGGCTACTGAAGACGCTGTTCGGATTGTTAATTGTCATAAATACAATTAATTATAACACTGTTGAGGGTTTACACAATTTACAAACCCTACACACTAATCTGTTCACTCTATCTTCAGTAGTCTTCACTTATTTACAGTATAAGACGGGAGCTATACAAGTGTCACTGAATTGCACACTCCCAATACCCAATGCCTTCTTACGTATCACAAACTATCACTGATTATCACACATAGAACCTTCTAATCATGTGTTCAGTTCTTCTTCTTCCTCCCGTGGCTGCTTAGACTGACTGTCTGACTTCTGTTCTGCTGAATACTGGCGAATACTCACTAATACTGGCATCTTTAGTAGCCAGATACGTTACAGTATTAAAGAAACAGTTCTTCGGAATGAAGTTAATTCAGAAAGTTTGTGATTAAATTTCCATGCATGTTGTTTTTGAAGCATGACAAGAAATCCAGATGATACTCAGTTCCAGCCCTTCTCTGGAGTGGCAGCTGCAGTGAGCCACTGTTTAAGTTTGCTGCCTCCCAGTGCATCCTTACATGATACTTTGGACATAACTCCTCAAGAAATAGTCATGGCATGTCAAATTTTGTGACTCCAGAGGCCAACTGATGGGACCTCAGCTCCCTATATGCTGTCCAGGCATAGTCACTTGGACCAGATGTGATACCCCATGATTTTCTGTTGTGGAGTTATGTCCAGTGCCTTGTATGGGTTTGCTGGGCCTATGGCCAGTGTAGAGGGACTCAAAAATTGCATCACTATAACTGTGATAACTAACTACAGAGATAGGGCAAAATCAGTTATCAGTTAGATGTCTTCTTATGCTGCAAAACAAGTGCATGTGGAAGTTCACTCTCAGAAATTTTTTGAGTTAAACTACTCATTGTTTCTTCAATATGCATAAGAGACAAGAAAATATAGCCCCTTAAATTCCTGCAGTGACTAACATGACACTTTTTATGTCATATTTTAATCTGATTTGGAGTTGTTAGGTTTGGTGAATTAAGTGTTAATGTTAAGAATAACATTGTAAATAGTTTTCCATGGTTTCATTTTAATCTTTCTTTAGTAATGGGTAATAGCCAGATCTGTCAAAGTATCTGTATCCTTTCTTTTCCTAAGTTTATATTAGAATATATATTCTATATGTTTATAGCAGTGGTATTAAAGTTGAAGATTTATCATCCAGAAGAATTAGTGCATATTTTTGTAATTTATATTAAAAGGAGTTGAATCATTTGATATGGAATTATAGAGAAATCATGGTGCTAAAATTTAAATACCAAGAGTAACTCACAAAGGTAAGTGAAATCTGTAAGAAACAGGAAAAGGAAAGAGAAATGGGGAATGTGATGAACAAAAACTTGTATCACCTCACCACAAAAGTGAGCATTCTATTGATAATGCTTTGCTTGTTGAGCATTCAATTCAATTCAATTCAATTCATTTATTTCATCCATAGCTGTAGAAATTACAATTGGACATGTCAGATAACAACAACATTACATCAAGCATAACATTCAAAGTACATGAATATAGAATAATAAATAATAAATACCTAAGACTAGAGAAAATATTTAAAACATATATACAGATTGTTTACAACATACAAACAGACTATTTAAAACATATTCCTGTACATATAAATAATTTATCTAAAACAGATTTATTTGTCAGCAAGCAGTCCATATCAACAGTTGTTAAAAAATTCCTGAAGAGAATAAAAGACGTTACACAACAAATAATTTTTTAGCTTCTTTTTAAAAACATTAAAATTATTTACACTTTTTAGTTCAGTCGGTAGGCCATTAAATATTTTGGTTCCCATACCAATCACCCCTCTTTTGCAGCGCTCAGTATTGCAAAATTGAACATACAGATTGTGTTTATGAATAGTATTATAGCCATGTACGTCAGAATACTGGGTAGTATATATCCTATTTTTTATTATAAAACATAAAATCTCAAATATATATAAGGAAGTAACTGTTAGAATCTTAAATTCTCGAAACAAATTTCTACAGGAGACTCTATTTCTTACACCTTTAACCACCCTTAAACATTTTTTCTGTAGTTTAAATAGAGTTTCAGAGTCCTTTTTCACCCCACCCCAAAAAATAATACCGTATTTCAACACGGACTCAAACTTTGCAAGATACACATTTCTTAATACAGATTGGCTCACAGAGTCCCGTAAAGATTTAATCAAATAAAGAGTCTTGCTAAGTTTTTTACAAACATATTGGGTGTGGGTTGCCCAACTTAAATCCTCAGTAATACAAATACCCAGAAATTTTACATCTGATGAACAAACTACCTCCTTATTATTTAAAGAAAAAATGGATCTAATAATTGGAGTAGATCTACTTCCCCGAAAAAAAATTACCTTAGACTTTTCAGTGTTTATTATTAAATGATTTTCATAAAACCATTTTTCTAATTGATTCTTTACATTTTGAATTTTTTCATTTAATGATAACATGTCATTTCCAGTAATTAATATATTAGTATCATCCGCAAATAATACTACCTCTGCATTTTGTATGATTCGGGGCAGATCATTTATGAATAATAAAAATAAAAGGGGTCCTAAAACAGAACCCTGAGGTACACCATGTTTAATAGCCTTAAGAGATGAGGTAAGTGTCTTTATCTTAAAGGTCTTTTGATCCATATGGTGAATTTCAACAAACTGGGTTCTGTCGGTGAGATACGATCTCATCCACGCGTGAGCTATTCCTCTCAGTCCATACAACTCCAGCTTTGCAAGCAGCAAGTTATGATTTATAACGTCAAAAGCTTTCGACAGATCCAAAAATATACCAAAAGCAAATTGTTTATTATCTAGGGTTTTTTGAATTTGTCCAATAAAAGTTTGAATTGCAGTAAATGTGGATTTATTCTTTCTGAAACCATTTTGAGCATTCGATATCAATTTGAATTTATTTAAAAAGTTTACAACTCTATTATACATTAGTGTTTCAAGGATTTTGGAAAATACAGACAAAATTGAAATTGGTCTATAATTGGTAATATTTTGTTTCTGACCTTTTTTAAAAATGGGTCGAACTTTTGCAATCTTCATTTGATCAGGAAAGATACCAGAGCTAAGTGACAGATTAAATATAAAAGTCAAAGGCTTTTTTATGAATTGGATACATTGTTTAACTATCATATCCGGGATCTCATCAAAACCCGCTGAGATTTTTGTTTTTAGTTTACTGGTGACCTTTAGAACCTCTTCTTCAGTAACAGGGACAAGAAATAACACATTTGGGTTCAGTATTATATCATTTACAGTGGCATGATCATTTTTACAGTTTCTATTTAAATGTATCAACCTGTCCACGCTATTTACAAAAAATTCATTAAATTGATGGGATATATCCTGGGGATTTGTAACTAGCATAGAATCAATTTCTAATGAAATATTTTCAATTTCTGTAAAGCCATTTCCTGACTCCTTCTTTATTATTTGCCATAGAGTTTTAGAATTATTGATTGATCTTTGAATGATTTGGTCATTTTCTCTTTGACGGGCAACAGAAATTACTTTTTTATAAATTCTCTGATATTTTTTTATATAGTTCAAGGTGTGAACAGACAGAGCCATCTTGCTACATTTGTAGCAAGTCCAGTGTTTCAGCTTATAAAGTATATGTTCTGGTTGCCATCCAGTTGTTTCTGTAAAAGGAACACAACATAAGTCATTAGTCAGTTCTCAGATAAGTAATAAAGTCATGATTACCCTGAACTCTGTCTGGGGTCCAAATATGTTTAATGGAGATCCTCAGTGAATTGCTTGCTTTTGGCCATTAAATGAAGTATGAAGAATAATGACTTCCTTTTGGATATATATGTTCTCTGAGTTAGGGAATGGCCAGGTTATAGCCCTGTGGAAGAAGGAGATGGGAAAGTCAAGTTTATTTAACCCTCCGAATACCAATTTTTTTTTTAAGTATGCTAACCATGATGATGACTAGAAGAGTCACATAAGTGCTTTCATATTTTTGTTCAAAGATGGCAGTGTGTGTACAGAGGGTCACTGACCATATGGGTGCCATTGGGAACTTGGGGAGGATGGTAATGCTGTCATTACTTACTCATGGAGCTGAGCCCTTCTTGAGAAGCTGCCAATTATGCACTTACTCAAGAAATTCCCAGCATTTTATGGAGCCCGAAGGTTCATTATCATGTTCACAAGAGCCCTCCACTGGTACCTATCCTGAGCCAGATCAATCTAATCCATACCATCCCTTCATATCTCTCTCTAAGATCCATTTTAATATTGTCCACCCACCTACATCTTGGTCTTCCCAGTGGTCTCTTTCCATTTGGCTTTCCCACCAATATCCTAAATGCATTCCTCTTCTCCCCCATTCGTGCTACATGCCCTGCCCATTTCATCCTCCTTGACTTGATTATTCTAATTATACTTGGTGAGGAGAATAAGTTATGAAGCTCATTGTTATGCCATTCACTCCAATTATAGATCAAAATATTGTGTGTGAGGCTCTGGTTTGCACTAACCCAAGGGTGCACTTTTACAGTCTTCTGGAATGTGTCACTGTTTAATCAGGTTACCTTGAAGACTGAGGCAGCAGGTTCTTTCGAAATATTGGCACCTATCTGCCAGTCCACATAGTGCCACTTATGCATAGTGGTAACATTCTTGACTCATGTTCAGGAGAAGCTCAGTTTTGAATATCAGCCAGGATGTGAGTTATCTTGACTGAAGATTTTTCATGATTTTCTCATTACCTCCAGCTAAATATCAGACTAATATCTTGATTCATCATGACTGCTGCCTTTCAGATCTTTTCCAAATTGTCATTCATCCATTCAACACTATATAGTTGAGCTGCTAAAAGCATTGTTGAACAATGTAGAGAGAGAGAGAGAGAAGGGGGGAGAAGAGAGAGAGAGAGGGGAGACTGAGGCAGCAGGTTCTTTCGAAACATTGGTACCTATCGGCCAGTCCACACAGTGCCACTTATGCATAGTGGTAACATTCTTGACTCATGTTCAGGAGAA